TCTGAAAAGACCAGTATTAAATTATGCTTTTAAAACAGCAAATTAAGAATTAACATGGATTGTTTATGACGATCTTTGATACACTAGCAAACCTCCTGATATGTTCATGGGAGATGCAGCTTGAGAGATGTAGTTTTCTTCATGCATTGTAAGAGGAATTAGGTTTATAGGAATAATAGTTGCTGCAAAAGGTACAAAGAATAACAGTCATCAGAATGACTGAGAAGTAACACAAGGATAAGATTGGGCTATGTAACATCCAGCTGCATTGGGAGAAAGAGAAAGTGAAATAACTATCATGGAATTTAATAAATAATGCAGCTTTTAGATTAGAGTAATAAAATAATGTTTTATAATAATATAGACAAAATGGGAAAATATTTTTAGATTGTATTCACTTTCTCCTACCAATGAAGAAACTCCTGTGTGTTTGGGTTTGGGTTTTTTTTGTAAATAGTATTATAGAATGTATGAATTAACACTGAAAAGCAGTAAGAAGCTCTTATTCATAACACATTAGAATAAACAGGTATAAAGAAGAGCTTCTTTACCTGAAAAGCTAAGTGCACAGAGGATTAGAGTGATGTAATCTTCACTAAATCTCCTTGTATGCAGTAAGTTGCTTAGTTCCTATATTCTAAATGCTCATTTTACCTACCTGTGCACTAATACCCAATGTAGACCAACCCTGGATATTGACTAGACTAATTTCTGCCATTGAAAACACTTATGTGATTACCCTCTTGTAATGTTGGAGGTAGCTGTATGCTGTAGAGAACTTGGTACTGCTGTCATCTTTGAGTTGTCCCAAGAGCTTTATATGAAGCTGTGGTTCTTTAGGATTCCCACAGTGAAAGTAGGAATTTGGTTTGTCCCCTATGTCTCACTTCATTTCGTTCCAGGGCAAAACCTGAGCAAGTTACTGAGCAACTGCAACTTCTGTCCTCTTCCTTTCTGTGAATACTCCTGAATTCTTGGGGAATAAATACCAGCAGACTAAATTGGAAACTTTTTGTTTGTGAGCAAATGTATTAAAGCCGTCTATACTTGGGAGGTGATGCATTGCAAGCTCAGGTTCTCAGTAATGATATATAAATTTTATACAGCCATGGCAGTGAAGGTTTCTGAAAGTTTCATCTACTTCCTGTGACAGGAGAGTGCTTAGTCCCATGATCAAGGCCTTGTAAAGCTGTCAAATTTATATCAGCAAAGTAATTTTTGCTAATATTATCAATGTTTTTCTGCTGGAAGTGTTGTTTCAATTTATACTTCTGCAAAGTATGCCGTAAGAGATTCCAACTACACATGCAAGTTCTTTTAAACATATTCCAGATTTTTTTTTAAGCTGTCTGTAGTGCTGGCTACACAGTGGTTCTATTTAAAAGCTATTTTTAATAGAAGTTATTTAAAATCCTTTATAATTTACTGGAAAATCCTGTCATCGATCCTGGGTATTTCTTAGCTACCTGAGTATTTGAGAAATGCAGTGAACTTCGTCATATGTTTTGTACGAGCCAGTGAGTAGTCTGTGCATCATCACTAGCACGTTGGTATTTCCACTTAGGCTTTGTAGATTAGTTTATATAAAACATGTAAATAACTATACACAAAACCTTACTTTCGAAACTAGGAAAATACTTTTAGTCAGATAACTTGGAATAATTTAGAACTGATTTTTTAATATTCTAAATATCTTAATGACTTCACATAATTTTCTTCACAGCCTTGAATAGTTTTAGAGTAATTATTTCCTCAAAATAACTATAGTGCTTCAACAAAGGATCTAATCAAACAGAGAAAATATTGGAGGAAGAGAAGTATGAGTGGGAATACTTTTTGTTCTTGAAAAGTATGTTTTTGTCTGTGCTGCCAGCCTGTGTGCCAAAGATAAACAGTGAATCAGTCTGGGGGTATCTCTGCTATCCTACAGCAGGGCTCAGCTGCCATCTCCATGACCTACCACAGCACAGCAAGCTGTTGTGTGCACCATGACCCATGGTCTGCTCAGCCACCGCAGGCTGCTCTCCCAACGTTACACCAGGCAGTGTGGCTGCCTCAGTTTCCTGTCTGCCCCTGGTCTGTGTAACGCTCTCCTGGGTGCCTGTAGGGAATACGCTCTTCAGATACAGATGCTAATATTTTTCTGATGCTTTCTCACTTCAATGGAGTGAGTCAGAAGGGGCTTTCTACTGATGATCTCCCAAATCTTGTATCACTGGTGTCGTGTCTGCTCTGACCAAACAAGTAGGTGCTTATGCCAGAGAAAAGCAAAAAAGCATGGATAGTGTTCTTAATGAGAAAATAGCAGCCTTAAATATGCTAGTACAGAAGGCGCTGCAGAATTAAAGATGAAGTCATGCATGACTAATTATTTGAAGTTCATCAACTCTATGATGTTATTAAATTACAGTTTGGAAAGAAATATTAACATCTTTATATTAAAATCTTCTTTCTTAGAAAAAAAAACCCACAACAAACCCACCCTGTCATTCCATAGGAAAGATAATAGGGTTTTTTCCATTTGGGAATTCATAGATTGTTTCAATGATCTGAAGTTTATCCAGAAGATCTTATTTTCAATAATTCAATTTTTCCCTGGTCATATTAATTACAATTCAAATATTTTAATACCAAAATTAGATGCGGCAGAAATAATATTTTCTCACAAACACAGATTTAAAAGTTCCATATTATTCTAACAAAATATAATAATAGTGATTTAGATATTAGTATTAATTTTATGTACAATTTCGAAGGCAGATTGTCAAAATATAATTAGAAAGCTCTATGCAACAAATTAAATACACTCTAGTAGCATGGGTGAAAAAAGCATCTGTTTTGAAGTACTTTCATTAGAAATTAAAAGTCTTGAGTAAGGAAAATTAGATTTGTATGAGATGAAATCAGAAAAAAATGTAGCAATGTTAGCTGCAAAGAATAGGATAATATCTATGGACCATGGAACAAGCAAAGTAAAATTCTACTTTGCTAAATTAATGTTGAATAATATAAATGAACCACAGTCCTTAATTTCTAAAAACCTTTATGTATTTACTAAATATACTTGAAGTCATTATAGTTACTTTGTTCTTAAAACCTAATGAAAATTACTGAATTTAATAATTCCTTTCCACATTTCACTTGGCTGAATGAATGCCTCTGTCTTCAGCTCACTTTTATTTTCAGGCTTCTGTAGTAGCACAAGTTTTGAATAATCTATGGTGTCAAATACATCCATGTCCCACTGTGCACATTCCCAGTGTCAAGTGTGTTGATGCTTGCCATTAGGCCCTAAGTTGGTAGATGCTTATGTAACAGCTTCCAGTTGTGGTTGGTTTTGGAAGGCTGAAAGAGAGATAACGGTATAGTCAACTATATGCTGTCTTAAAGTAAGGGAAAAAAATTTTGAGTTTGTTTTTTCTTTCAGATTAATAGTGGATGGCTGGAAAAAAACAAGCATCTCCAAATACTGTTAGTTAAGGGTGTGCTATGATCTGGGAAGGTTAGAAGCATAGTATTTCATGAGAATTCCACTGCTCAGAGTCATAGCTAAATTGCATAAATTACTAAAATTATTTTTCTTCACTATTTCCTGTATTTCTACTTTGACAGCTACAAGCGATAATCTAAGAACTGGTTAATAAAAGAAATATTTTTAAAACATCGTTTGAAAGAGCTCTGGTGTCGTAACTGAATTTAAGTTGAGAATTGCTCTTGTAATGCCATATGGAAAACATGCCAGCCATTTGTAATTAATCTTATCCTTCCAAACGAATTTGACTCAACTCTGAGTTACAGTGCTTATAAGTCAATGCACAACTACTGAACTCTCACAAATCTTCATGTCAATTTAGTATTTTTGAAATTGTGTGATTCACAGATCCTGACAGCTTGAAGTATCTCAGTGTATCTATGTACATAATGTGTTTGTGTGTGTGTGTATATACAGGTACACATACATATATCTGCTAAAACAGACGTGTCACATTCTGCTTTTCCTGGTGGGCTGTATGCCAGAAAGGCAGAAGTTTTTTTCCTAATGTGACAGTATAGTTGTTTCTATCTCTAATCAGTGTTCAATCTGTATTCAGCTAAGAATGCTACAATGGAATTACTGAGAAAGATGTTGAAATAGTAAGGGATTTGGTCTAAGTTCATTTAATAAAAAAAAAAACACCACACCAAAAACCCAAAAAAAACCATCAAAAAACCCCAACCAAACAAAAAAACCCACAACTCCCCTACCCACAACCTCACAAAAAACAGAAAATAAGCCTAAACTTTGGTCATTTGTTCAAAATGAACATGCATTGCAAAAGTGTTGTTTTAAATTGATTTGGTTATTACTTTTACTTTTTCTTTAAAAAAAAGTTTTATTTTTTTAATTTAATTTTGTTCTTAATCCTGAATCCAGCTTACATACTGCAAAGTAGTTTATGTTTATATACTTCTCATTTGAGAAAAAAACACACATATTGGTAATATTTCAATTTCACTAGCACCAGTGTTCATTTAAGCACTATAACTAAGATCATACTTGACCTAGCATCTGTGTGTGGGAGCTTTGCGGTATGATTTGTCTGCTGTGTTTGCTTGAGCAGCCTCTCATTTTAGCCAGAGTTAGGGAGTTGAGGCGTCAGCAGCCAGGTGGGGAGGGCTGGTGGCTTCGGTGGGCAGCAGAGCTAACGAGGCAGCTTCTGCTTGAGAGGGAGAGAGGGCAGCTGGGTGAGGGACCGGGGCGCGCTGCGGGTGCTGGAAGCGTATGCCAGCATCCCCGCCTGATAAAAAGGGTGTTTTGGGGGATGTCTGTGTTTTGCTTTTTCAAATGTAAAATTGTACATGTTTATTGGGGGACTTTGTGCTTTGAAGTCAAAGGACAAAAAGTGCCCCTGCTTCGCTGCACTGCTCTGGTTATGACTTTATTTCTGTTCTGAGATAAAAACTGAGGTTTAGTTTGAGTGTTCCAAAACCAGATACCACTCTCTCTCTCTTTCTTGTAGGCAGGGTGCTGCTGTGCCAGGCAAACCAGGAGGGATCTCCCGTGTACAGTGCCCCCAGTTCACTAGTATACACCTCCACAAGTAAGCTAGTGCTACGGCTCTTTTGTTGTTTTGTTTTGTGACAAAAGCACGTTAATGTGAATTAAGCCCCCCAAAACTGTGAACTTTCCCAATAGCTCTTTTTAAGGTAAATGTGGTGTTTATAAACATATGTAAATAATATCTACAGATAATTCAGTGGTTTTAGTTGCATCTTTATCCTCAAAGTGTTTGTGTGTGTATATATATTTTTTTTAATTAAAAAAAAACAAACCACCTATATTGCAAAGTTCTACAGAAATGGTTAGAAGGTCTACAGTAACACTGATTATGTTTTTTTTTAATCCAGTACTGTTGTGCACTCTGCATTTTGTGTAGAAGATGAAGTTGTGTTTCTTTTTCTTTTCTGATCACAACTGTGTTTTAATAAACAAAAAGTCATATCATGCCACCATGTGATTGTCAGGAAGCAAATAGATATGAAGTTTTTCTTACAAAAGGAAAAAGACTGTGTACAAGAGGGTATTTTGAACTATAAAAAGCTGCCCTAAAGAAAAAAAAAAAGCAAAGACAGGCTGAAACAATAGATCATCAAAAGCATCAGCCATTTTTCTGTACAAAACTGTGGAGTACAAATGTGATCTCTAAAATTCTGAAGCAGAAGTGGAACTGATTCTTCTTAGAGTGTATGAGATTGTATTGGTGGTACCACTGATACTCATTCTGAAATCTGGTCAGATAAGAAGCCTCTAACTGAACGAAACAGTAAGAATTGCTGCTTGTTGAATCAGGGTGAACAGCAGCATTTGCTATGTGTTCTTGGCAGTCCTCTGTAAAGAAAATAATTTATATTGACTGATTTAACTACATTATTGGATATGCTCTCTCTGAAGATTGTATTCAACCTAAAATGCAATTCTATTTTTTAAAGCTTCTCTAGACTACTAACACACTTACTTTCCTTTATTAATTAAAACTAGGAATTGAGGACAAGAGAGTTCCGTAGTCATCATCTCTACAGTGATATAGCTCTCTTATGTCAAATGCTATGAATATCATCCCTAGAGCTGCTGCTTTTACAGTATAAATATGGGTTCTATTTTCAAATCAGGAGTCTCCAAATACATAGTAAACTAACGAAATACATGAAATGTTTTAAATTGGAACTGGAATTATCAATTAAATCTGCATTTGCTTCCAGGCGCTCCAAGAACGTTTTGTACTGTCACCTTTCCCAAGCAGTTGGGTTTTTTTTAATCCTTGTGGTGACACAGAGATTAAATACTTACTGTATAAACCTGTGTCCCCTGTAGTACACATTCAGTGCACTATTCCTTTTTGATTAAAATACCAGTCTTTTGTCTGAATTGACAATCTTTGACTGAAGACTCTTTTCCTAGAAAATTCTCCAAACATTTAATTCATCTCACTGTTAGGAAGCCTCTTTTAGAAGAGGAGGACAGTGTTTGTTTTTTATTTTTCTGGAAATTACTCTAAATAAATCACTTCTTAAGTTTACCCTGTTGCTCTTATTATCTCACCAAGTTTTACCCTAGGAAATTTATTTCTGAGGTTGCTGTTTACATTGTACAGTATTTCCACTATTATGAAATCCCTAGCTAGTCGTTGTCTAGCTAGCTAAGCTCTATACTTCACTGTTTCCATTATGTCTCATGAGTCAATGCCTTTGAAAAATCTTGTTTTGCGGTGGTGCTCCTTGAATAATGATATCCTAATGAACACCTGTTTGTTTTCAATTATTCCAAATACATAAGTAAACAGACTTTGCCTATGTGCCTCCCACTGGGCAACGTGTAATACACTTGTAACAGAGATTGCTAGTAGCCCTTGCAGTTGAAATTATTACACTTTTTGTTGAATCTGTGTGTCTGCAAGTCATGATTTTTCTTTTATTATGTATAGTATTTCATATTACCAAAATGTAGTTTCCCCTCCAGGTTCACAACTCCTAATAATAGAAAATTACTGTAATTACTGATGATTGTTATTGGGGTTTTTTTTTGTTTCTCCTTATTACAGAACTTCAATAAGAATGTAAAATAGTTAAATTTCTATAGGAAATTCTGCTAAGAAATTAATAGAAATGAAGCTCGAGTTTCGTCTCATTTTCTTTATTATTTTAAAGATCTTCTATACTCCTTTTTTATACACATTTGTAATATGGAAATGATAAGTGATAAGTCAACTAATACTTTTGGTATTATCATTCCATGTAGACGATATTGCAGCCTTCATCATTGAATAATTTGTTATTCTCTGTTACTGCCAGTATTGTAACTGTGTAATATTTCAGAACAGATTACCATGTAAAAATTAAGAATTTTTAAATTTATAATTGCTTTAGCAGAAAGGAAGGAGTCAGCTGAGATTTTTTTAAAGCCATCTGAGAGATCTGGAGTTCATTAAATGCTAATGGCATTTAGGAATTTTTAGATAGGAAAAGGATAGTCCCAATTTTTAGATATGATATTGTCTTTAACTTGACCATATTGTCAAGTTGTATGCTCCCAAGTTGTATCTGTAAGGAATGAAGGACTGAAACATGGTTGGAAAATACATTTTTCTTAACTTGGCTAGCTTTATTTCTCACTTAACTTTTTGACTTTTAATTGTATTGGTCACTAGAAGCCTCTGATGACTGAATGCTTTTACCCCATTGTTTTTGGCTAGTCAGAAAGAAAAGTACATTTCTTGAAGCTAATTTCTTTCCCTTCTGATATTTTATTTCCCCAGGATATATTTTATGTATCATATTGTACGTTTCCCAGGACAGTGATTAGTTACACCTCTGAATATGTCAGGAGACAGAAACATGGCTCTGCTTCCTTCCATCACTTCTGGCCCTTCACATAATACAGAAAGAAATGAGCTGTTCCTTCTGCAAGCAGTGGAACAAATCAGCAGCAATAGTCTCTCATGCCTCATCTGTTCCCTTGTGAAGATGGGAGCTGGATCAGTTTTTCATTTGCACATCTATTCTGGGAATAGATAATTTGTTATGTAGAAAGCATAGTTTCAGCATGCAATTTGTTCACATCCCTTGGTGGGACAAATCTTTTGCCTTACTGAGAAAACCAGAGTAAGGAAGCTCGTGATCTCATCTTGGCTGCTGTGGATTCCCATAGCATTGGCATCTCAAGGACAGAACTAATAAAACGGACTTCAGTTAAATACTTCATCACCATCCTAATGCAGAATGCAGACAAGTATTGGAAGGAGATATATTCAGAAAGTAAAGATAAAAGTTCACCAAGTCTCAGAGATTAAGCAAGCATTACCTGGAAGCTTCCTGGAGGCCCGTGGTACCTCACTGAAACTTTTGAATCAGTTTGTCTGCACAGAAGTCTCTTTTACAGTCACCCACTTCTTTGGACTAGTTGCTTCCACAATAAATTTCAAAATCCTGAAGAAATTTGTATCTACTGTTAAGTAAGAAATATACTGAGAAAAATTTTGGAACTTTTAAAAATTGAAGTCACTCAAGAATAGTATTCATAAAAATATTAAGACCCTGCTCGACAAAAGAAAGACTCAAAAGAAGAAGAAAGTTCTGTCACTGAATACCTTTATCACTGTTCTACAGAGGCCTGTAATATACCTGGGTATGTACGGTTAGAAAAGGCAAAACAACTAATCTGAATTTATGCAAGGACTTTTAAAAACAGTTTATTACCTATTTTCCCCATTTTTCTATAATGTAGAAGTGCCTGAAAATGTGAATGAAATAGGAGTTAATGAGAGCCAAACCATGGGAAAGAAGGAAGCCATTAAGTCATAGAAACCTAGAATAATTCAGGTTGGAAGGACTAGGTTGCATCGGGCACCTTTAAGGATGGAGACAGCACAAGCTTTCTGGGTCATCTCTTTCAATGCTTGAATGTCCTAACAGTGGAAACCTCTCTTCTTTCCAGTTATGTTTGTTGTCTCGTGTCTTCCCAGTGTGTGCCTCTGTGAAGAGCCTACCTCTGTTTTCTTTATAACCTCCCCTGCCCTTCTGTGGAAGGGGATGGAAAAGAAGATGCACCTGCCAGTCAAGAACTTGGTTGTGCTTGGGCTTCCTGAGTACTGGCTGCTGTAGCAAAGAAGCCAGCCTAAAGCTGTACAACACTGTTTTCAAAAATGTGCATCCCCAAGTCCCATGGAAGGCAATGAGAGAGAGATTACAAATTCTAATAAAAGTTCAAAGGCAGCTAATATTTTTCACTCTCAAAATCAGAACTTTGATCTTTGTAAGTTTTAGGGTTTATTTTAGCTCCAAGTAAAAAGTAAAGACACTTGAGTTATCAGGTATGTAACTACTAGTAGATTTTTCTGAGCATGTATTAAAGAGACAGTTGATGACTAAATAGCTAACGACGTAGAATAGTAAATTGCTGCATGCCTTCTCTCAGAATGATGCGCAGATAAGTGCCTATATTTCCCAAATGTTTTGCATGGCCATAAAAGAAAATTTTGCTTTGACTTCAATAAGTACATTTTAAGCTTATGTCAGTTCTGGCTTACATTTTCTAAATGTTGGAGTTGTTTCATCTTCAGTAAGCATGCTTATCAGCTCCAAAATGTAGATGTTCTTTTTCCATAAATTTTCATTTTGATTAAAAATAAATAAATCTTTCATATTGCAATAAAGTGATAGAATTAAAAGAAGAAAAAAATGAAAATGCAGAAATCAAATATTAATTTATTCTATTTTATCATACTCAAGGGCAGATGAAGTTGATGGCCCATTTTTTAATTGATATATTGATTACAATTTTGTAAGAAATGATGGTGGAATTCAGCAAAAATTATTGAGGTGGTACAAACGCTTATAAATCTGTCCCACATTGTTCTTGTTCCTTAATTGTAATTGTCTGATAAAACTTTCATCAGTTTCTGTAATTAACCTAATGGTCTAAATGAATTTCCAGATCACTGGTTATTCATTTCAATGCAGAAAATGCCATTACGTTGTGTTTAATTATTACAAAGTAAGTTCACAGTCCATTGTATCGCTAGAATAGAATTTTACTGTTTTAACT